GATGTCTTCTGTACGCTACTGCATAAACTTGAGTATCCTTTTGTATTTTCCTTTTCTATTTTCAAAAACGACTTTAAAATCATTTGCTTCAAGTTTTGGCACTGACAACAAGTTAAATTCTAATCCAGGCACATAGAGGACATTTTTAACAGTGACTTCAATTTCCTCTCCGTTAACATAGTTTTTCCATAAATAGTACCTACTTTATTTGCCATTAACGTTGTACCTGCTTTTGCAATACGGATTGTTGTAGGTTGTGTCAATAATCTTGTATTTCGCAAAAGCTTTTCATCCCTGGTTAAATGCTCTGATGCTCCGGAATCTAAAATCCAGGTAGAATCCTTTTCGTGTTTTATATAATTAATTATTGCTGAAAAACTGACTGCTTTGGATTTATCTGCATCTGCCGCGAGATTTGCTTGCTTTTCCTTATATCTGTTCTGTCGAATTCCTTCAGGCTGTTGCTTCGGGTTTCTTACATTCCGACCGGCGATGACCATATGCACCACAGTTGTAACACCTGTAATTGAAATGTTTGTTTCCAGTGTCACGTATATTTTTCCGACTGTCATTCGTTGATGAAGTAAATGCTGTAGAATGCTGTGCTTCGTTCTTCGTTGATTTAACATTTCCTTTCCGTTTAGACTCTTCATCAAGGAGACGATTTTTGACAAAACTTAGAGTCAATGATTCCTTCGATAACGTTTCCAACGCCGTCACTACGACATCATATTCAGGGGGCATTGTTAAGAGTAAATGACACACAATGTCCGTTTCTTCCATGTTCGCTTCTGTGGACTTAAGTTCACGTACAAACGATTCAAATTTTAGGAAATGCAATGATAATGACTCAACCGAAGGTTTAAATTTCATTAACAATAATTTTTTGCGTAAGAGTAATTGACTAGCTACACCTTGTCATTCAAATACATTTTTTAATTCCGTCCAGATGTCAAAAGCAGATAACTTATCTTTTGCGTACTCTAATGCGAATCTGCTATCCTTTGAACTATTTGGGACTTGCATTTCGTGTCCTTTCTCTTTAGACTTACCATTCGCGAATTGTAAACCTCTTGTGTCTCTTCAGCTCTTATTTCAGCGTCTAATACTTCAGATTCGATATGTTCTTTCAAACTGAGCTCTTCCAGCAATACTTCTATTCGAAACTTCCAGTTGTTATAATTTGTACCATCGAAGAGTGGTACTCGATGCTTATCTTCCTCCATTGAGTCGAGATTATTCCTCCTTTTCATCAGTGTGAGGTTAGTCAATTCAATTTTTATAACTGGGCAATTGCTGGGCAATTCCTAAGCCCATAACCTGTTATTTCTATTAATATTATGCGCACTTTCGACCCCGCACACCCAGAGGAGAAAGAAAGGAGCTGATTATATCTCTTCAGAGAATTAAAGAGAGAATTTGTATAAAACCACACATTTATTAGTACAGAGGTTTGAGCGAGCCAGAAAGCAAGGTACAAAGAGCAATCGCTAAGGGGCGAGACAAAAGAAGCAAGGCTTAAAGAAGAAAATAAATGTCACTGTAGTGCCGCACTAACGCGAGTTTTAAAAACAATACATAACAAGTATAACTAACTTTCTAACATATTCTATAAAGTTTGAGTCTTTAGTGTTTATTTATTCTCGCACTCACTACAGTAGAGTAGCGCTACCGTATTTAGGCTACTGCTACAGTTTTATTAAAAGCGGGATTGATTTAGTTCAGTCCCTACAGAAGAGAAGCGCTACCGCACTTAGGCTTCTATATTTGTTTCTAATTTTGTCCTCGCCCGATATTTTCGTTTCCTCAACAGTAGACGAGAAGCCGCGAATATGCGATCACACATTTTGTACGTTTCAAACCGTTTTTTCTGTTATTTCGAACCGTAACTCTTTGATATGCTCTAAGGTGTTACTATTTTGAGCCGTAATATATTTAACAAACGTTAACATAACTTGAAAGTTCAGAATAAAAATACTGGTTTTTCTCTGATCGGACCCGGCCAGATCCAGGAAAAAATACACAAAGATATTTTTTAACCAAAACCTGGGAAAAATCGTGGAAAATTTATAGCAAAAGGCCAGGACCCGTCTGGATTTTCTAAGCTAATATTTCCCATGCGGGTCCCGTATACAGGGTGTCCCGTAAAGACCGTAACAACGCTTAGGGGTATATTTCTAAGATAATTCTGAGCAAAAAATCTTAATACCAAAATACTCAGGGTGTAATGGTTTTTGAATTAGAAGCATTTAAAGTTAGCGAATAAGATAGCCTGAAATTTGCGCGCTCAGGTGTGTACAACGTACAGTGATAAAAGCGAAATTGATTATCACTCCCTTGTTGTCAGTATTAATATTTGGAAAATAAATTTGCTAATACATATTAACATAAATATTGTTTACGCAATTAAGATTTTGTTGAAAATATTATAAGGAAAAAAATATTATGATACACATAACGCAAAAATTATTTTTTA